GCTCGTCATAAAAGCTGTCCGTTTGCATTTGTTATCAGGATGCTGCTAAAGCGCCAGGGTTTCTTAACAAAATTCAAAGTGTGAGCAAAGTTTCATAGTTTTGAACATCGCAGTGACAATGCCATCGTTTAGTCCGACGGGACCCAATGATACCTGAGGGTTCAGGCCAGGTTCGGACAGAAATTTAGAAATTACATTCGGGTCCAGGATCACACAAGCAGGTCAAAATTCACGCTAGAGTAAGCATGTCTATTTTGTTTAATAGTAAGTGGAAAAACATGGTACAAACGCAAGTGTGTCAGGCTCAGGTCAGTTTGGACATTATATACTATAAGCTTGTTGGGTCCGGGTTATGTTCCATCGCCACACTCTTGGGCACGGCTTGGGTTGAGACAAAAATACGGAGTCCAATCCATGCTTTACGTCATCTACAACCAGAGTAAAAGGTTTGCAAACATAATTGGGAAAGTACCATTAAAGCTCTCCATTGAGTAGGTTGACTGGTTAGCCGGCTTGTCGCACATACGACAATACCAGGAAACGACAATGTGTCATTCAGATTGCATCACTGAGACAGAGCACAGGTGGGAGTAAAGTTTCAGTAAATTTGTCAGATGCTTTTCCTCAAACTTGATGACTCATTATTGTCAAGCTCCGATACAGAACAAGGTAATGATTTTGGCTCTGTATTAAATTTACAAAGATGAACATTTTACAGCCTAACTTCCCGCACTTAATAAGCCCCTGCTTATGCAACATGTTTGAGAACCACCCAATAGCTCAATAAAAAATGTTTGCAGGTCGGTAAATACCAGATGTCAGTTTGGCTGACTAGTTAAATGGAAGCCAGAGTTACACAATCCTGTAGTTCACTTGAACCAATACTGAGTTTTACATTTCCTAATTGCAAGTGCAGACAAGACACCTGACATGTTTCCACTTGTTTCAATGAGAAAAAACATTCTTAAGAGTCAAAGCTGTGTTATCATGGATATCTGCTGCAGGGTACTGTGCACACTACTGTGATGTGCACCTGCAGCCTTGGCTTGAAGCGATCTCTGTGATGAAACTGTTTGTTCACTGTCACCTGCAGGATAACAGAGCGATGAGGCCTCAGTGAGTGACCGTGCCACCACGGGACACAGAGCCCACCAGAGCAGCTGGCAATGAGGTGGCGGTTTGGCACACTCAGCAGGACTTCATTCACACTCACACACAGTTGGCTGTACAAACAGAATGTGTTTTTATGTTGACATGTATTTCTCACAGAGTGAGAGCACATATCTGTCATTCTGTGTATCAATGTACGTGCTAATGAGAGCCTGGGTGAGGTGTGTGAACACACGGAGCTGAGATGTGCTTCTGGTGACTACTCACTGAGCGTTTGACACACTCAGCCTCCATTATCTGATGACAAATCTACATGGCTGAGAACAGACATGCACGCACAGTTGCATACACACAATGAACCTATGAATACAAACAGGATTCAAGTGGTTTGAACTCTGGCTGAAATTGCCCTGCCCTGTCACTAGCCCACCACTGGCAAAGAAAGCCAGCGTCGAGAGCAGGATAGGAGGATGAGGGGATACGAATTTCTCAGTGGTGCCCCGACAACACCAAAATCTTTGCCACCAAGGCAACATTTAAAACCTGACAAGGGTTGCAAATAATGCATATTTTCAAGATTGATTCAT